AGGGCCTCCTCAAACCTAAATCCGGCCCTGATATGACTCACCCCCCCCCCGCAAAGAATCCTGGGAGCTGTAGTTTCTTAAGGATGCTTGGGATTGTAGCTCTGTGAGGTGGAAGCTGCAGCTCCCAGAATTCTTTGGGGGAAGACGTGTGCTTTCAATGTGTGTTGGATGTGATCCAACTGTATGGTGAAGATCCGCCCTTTGTGTTTGACATGAATAAGACAGGCCCCAAGATGTACTGACTGAAGGTTTAAGAAACTTAAGATTCACGGCCCCTAATCCCAGAGGATTGCTTAAACATTTTGGGTCTCGTAGACCCAATCTGAGTCACACTGAACTGAGTCAAATGGATTATTATTATTTGTTGTTGTACAGTGGTACCTCAGGTTACATACGCTTCAGGTTACAGACTCTGCTAACCCAGAAATAGTACCTCAGGTTAAGAACTTTGTTTCAGGATGAGAACAGAAATCGTGCTCTGGCGGCGCGGCAGCAGTGGGAGGCCCCATTAGCTAAAGTGGTGCTTCAGGTTAAGAACAGTTTCAGGTTAAGAACGGACCTCCAGAACCAATTAAGTACTTAACCTGAGGTACCACTGTGTATATATATTTCAACAATCCCAGAGTTTGAGAGTCAGGAGCACAAATGTTGTAAAGGTGCGCTGATCTGTCATGGAACAACCCCATTGAAGAAGATAAACAATGGTTACCCAGACCTCACTGCTGGTTGTGAAAGGGCCTATAACGGTTAAGGGCCCCCAAAATGTAGGTCCACCACTGCACCTCCATCATCTCCTTCTCCCCCCGTCCTGCCTCCTTGCCAACTGCCTGCCTGTCTAATTAGAGTTTGAACCTTGATTAAACATGTTGTTAGGCAGCAACAGGGCAGAGGTTGAAGGAGATGGTGCAAGTGAAACTCTCAGCCTGCTCTGTCTTATCCTTATATTTACTTATTTATTAAATTTGTCAGTCGTTTGTTGTCCAGAGCAACACAAAGCAACTCATGTCCAGCAATTCTCACCTCCTGATGGGATGTTTAGCATTCACTTCCTCACACTCTTTTGATAGCTCCACATTGCTCCAGGTATATCTGAGGTGAATCAGAGATGTCCCAACCTGCTCTGGACAAAATCCCAGCTCGACTAAAATGCAGAGTCCTAGTATACCTGCAGAATAATTCCATTCATGGAATGTGAAGCCACTGAGTATGTGACGCTTTGACGTATGTCCTAAATGTGGCTTCCAATTTGTTTATATTTATTGTGCCTATCCCGTTAGCGTGACTTTCCATAACTATCAATTGACAATTCTAATCTCCTAGGGAGGGAGACTCCTAGAAGAAAAGACCAACCTTATTAATCATTGGCAACATCATGCCCTCTGGTAAACATATGCATGTTTTCTTAATATTGTATTTCATAACTAAGCACCTAGGATTTATTGACGATGGAGGAAAGGTTGAGTAATCTACACGTGGGCTTTAACAGGAGTCTGAAGCAGAGATCAGGTTGCTCAGGAAAAAAACAGATCATACCACTAGGGGTCACTGTTGCACTTCACCTTTTTAATAGTGCAGCCAAATGTTCCATTTTTTTGGTTCTTCTTTCTAATGCAAAAAACCCTATTAATTTAGTAATCCAGTACACAATAATATTTTCTTAGAGCAAAACTGCAGCGATCTCACCATGCACATTCTTAGTTTATAACAATCAAAAGCAAAGTGGTGTTAAAATGTAAATTGTTATGATTTTATTATCAATTTCTTTTAATACTTTTTATACTTATCAACACACAACTAGCTAAATCCATCCCCTTTATGTTGATAGTGATGATTGTTTATTTCATTTTTTAAGTGAGTGAGAATGACAAAAAATGAAAATAAATACTCAGTTACATTACCGTACTGTACATTGATATAAAGGTAAAGGTAAAGGGACCCCTGACCATTAGGTCCAGTTGTGGACGACTCTGGGGTTGCGGCGCTCATCTCGCTTTATTGGCCAAGGGAGCCGGCATACAGCTTCTGGGTCATGTGGCCAGCATGACTAAGCCACTTCTGGCGAACCAGAGCAGCACATGGAAACGCCATTTACCTTCCCGCCAGAGCGGTACCTGTTTATCTACTTGCACTTTGACATGCTTTTGAACTGCTAGGTTGGCAGGAGCAGGGACCGAGCAACGGCAGCTCACCCTGTCGTGGGGATTCGAACCGCCGACCTTCTGATCGGCAAGTCCTAGACTCTGTGGTTTAACCCACAGCGCCACCTGCGTCCCTGTGTACATTGATATACAAATGAGTATATTCTTCTTAGCCTAATACACATACAATTATCAATAACCTAATATATTCTGTGTAAATTCATTCCAAATATCATTGGATTTATCTAAAGGAAGTCTGCATCTATAAGCTGAGGGTGTTCAATGCCAGGATAGACAGTTACCAGTGGTGTTTGGACTCAGCTTGGAAAAATCTCTCTCTCTCTCTCTCTCTCTCTCTCTCTCTCTCTGTGTGTGTGTGTGTGTGCGTTTTCCTCACTCCCTCCTCCCCCCCCCCCCAGCTAGGAAGCAGTTATATCAACATGAAGATTTATTCTTCTTCAACTTTTTCCATAAACAAGTTGGCCTAATAAAATGTGTTACATATATTTTTAGACACCAGTGAAGCAATACCTGAATGGTTTGTTTTTTTCCCCTTACCCAGCCTACCTTCCCTATGTTATCAAATACTTTGATATTGAACAGATGGAAAAGATTTGTCTAAATATGTGAACACAAGTGCACCAGCAATCTGGATTTCACAGTGTTCCACATCCCAAGAGTACATTCATGATTTTTTGTTTACCAAGATGAGAAAGAATGTGACGATTTTGGACTTTTCCGGCTCCCATCCTGTAGGATTTGGAGATAATATAGACACACGCAATGCACACTTCTCAGGGTGATCTACTTGGCACATACTGATGTCATATTTCAACTATCCTTTGTGGCTAACGTCTAATTGGAAATAGAAGGAAGCACGAGGAAAAACATGAAAGCCACTCTTAATGGTACCATATGTTCCAAAATACGGAAAAAAAATGTGCTCTTTTCATGTTCTGTCCCCATAAACTATCAGTACAGTTGGATCAGGAAAGGCTGTAGATCAGTGGAAGAGCAGAATGTCCCAGATCCAACTCCTACCATCTCCAGGTAAATCTGGCAATGCCCTCTCTTTGATATCCTGGATTTAAAAAAAAGTAAAGGACCCCTAAAGTAAGCGACAAAAAAGGCAAGGTAATCGTGCAAAGTAGGACGTCATGTGTCCATCTACGTTATCAAAACCATTCCTTAACCCTTCCTTAATGTTTAAAACCATGAGTGTATGAAGCTAGATGGTCTTACTCAGTAGGAGGCAACTTCCAATTATTCTATTGAATGGGAGGTGCAATTTTGTCCCTTGCTTCAAACATCAAATGCTTTGGGCAACAATGAGTCCCATTTCAAAACATGGAGAATACGAACATCCCCCAGTTATTCCACTGCAGCAAACCTTTATGCGAAATGCAGGGAAGGAAAAGAACACATGTCAAGTGTCCTGGAACACCAAGGCCCAGGAAAAGCTTTGAACAAAGAGATGCAGAGAATATGTAAATAACCAGTACAAAAGGTCACCTCCGGGATGAAGAGAAGAGAACCTGGCAGAACGATCGGAATGGATTATTTTATACTTATTAAAAGCAAGTCAGCATTTGTGGATGTCATCGCTGATGTTTGACCAATTATAGATTAAAAGTGGGCTGGAAATTCTTTGTGGCAAGGGTTGTCTCTTTCGGTTTCTCTCTCCAAGAGTTGGTAAAGTGGGCGTCCCGTATCAAGGCCACACAATTCTGGAACAAGCAAGCAGCTCCTATTAAAAAGAAAAGAAAAGAGTGCATATCCCTTCTCCTCAGACATGTAGAGAGAGGTAAGTCAGTAAAGCTCAGATGGGTCCTTCCCTCCCATTTGGTAGAGAGCAAACCATCTGCCCACATCTGCTGCTACATCTAACTTTAGGTGACAATCAGGTAAAGTCATGGTCGGGATTGGCTGCACTAAGGAGTTCTCCACTGGGAATTTAGTTTAGCTCAATGGAATTTCCCCAATGTTCTCAGCAACACACATTCAAACACTGGCTAGAGAGCCAGTGTGGTGTAGTGGTTAAGAGCGGTAGATTCATAATCCGGGGAACCGGGTTTGCGTCTCCGCTCCTCCACATGCAGCTGCTGGGTGACCTTGGGCCAGTCACACTTCTTTGAAGTCTCTCAGCCCCACTCACCTCACAGAGTGTTTGTTGTGGGGGAGGAAGGGAAAGGAGAATGTTAGCTGCTTTGAGACTCCTGAAGGGATATCAAATCCAAACTCTTCTCCTTCTTCTTCAATGTACAATCGTACCTTGGTTTTCAAACAGCTTAGTTCTCGAATGATTTGGCTCCCGAAAGCTGCAAACCCGGAAGTGAGTGTTCTTGTTTGCGAACTATTTTTGGAAGCCAAACATCTAACGGGGCTTACGGGGCTTCTGATTGGCTGCAGGAAGTTCCTGCAGCCAATCGGAAGCTGCACTTTGGTTTCTGAACATTTTGGAAGTCGAACGGACTTTCGGAACAGATTCCGTTCGACTTCCGAGGTACGACTGTACAATTAATTATACTTAACCGGGACTACAGAGTGCCAGCTACTGGAGAGATGATTTATAGAATGAAAGGACACTCATGAACACTCCTCTGCCACGTTAACAATAAGGTAAGTACAACACAAACCCTGTTAATTTACTGAATTTAATATGGTTTTTTTCTCATTAATTGATGGAGAATAATTAAAAAACACACAAAAACCCTCCACAGGCTACATTTCTGTTCAGAGAGTTTAGTTGATGTTCTTCTAGTCTACCTTTCAGAAGGTCTTTATGATGCCAATGGCAGGCATTGGGTTACAGAATCATAAAATTGTAGAGTTGGAGTCATCTAGCAATGCGGGAATCTTTTTTGCCCAACATGGTGCTCGAACCCATGTCCCTGAGATTAAGATTCTTCTGCTCTACCAACTGAGCTATTCCGTGGCAACACACTCATTTCCCTCTCTGGGCACACTTCTATAGGGATGCTGCTTAGTCACTGAGATCACAGCAAAAAGTCTGCATTTTTAAGTGCTAAACAAATGGTCCATTTTGAAAGCAAATGATCCGGCAAAATGAAATCACGGCTCAAGTTTCAATTCTATCTACGGGACAGCGCAATAAGTTTTCCTTCTTGGAAAGTGCCATTAACAGCAGTAGGGCTAATGCCTGAGCCGCTCCGGTCAGGATTGGGTGTCAAGTTCCATGGAAACAAACAGGACTGCAATAACTGCACAAGTTGTCAGGCGGCAGAGGATCCAGCCCTCACGGCAGGTTGCCAGGAATGGATAAGACAAGGAGAAGTTCTTACCAACTGCTTTATATTCAATATTCACAGAGAGAGGCTTGGAAATGCAGCCTCTTTGAGTAGTGACGTTGCCCTGAGTGAATCTCCACCCTCTCTCCTCTTCATTCTTCATCACTACGGGTGCTGAGAAGTGCCCTTTGCCTCTGGGCTCTCTGTTCTCCTACTTTCAATGCCCACCAGATTCTGGGAGAGGGGAGGTCTGGAATGCTTTCCCAAGACACTGTGTCCGTCAGCTGTCACCCCTCTGGCGCTTCTTCTTCCTCCTCTCCCATTATTTCCCAGCTTTCCCCCTCATCTTCCTCTGAGCTGTGATCTCCCTCAAACCCCTGTTGTAATCCTGAACTGACTTCTTCTCCTCTGGAAGGGTCAAGCTGGGGAGGCTGTATTAAGTTGTGGGTGGACATAGCAGACGACACAGAGATTTCTCCAAGTAGTTCTTTATAAGTAAGCTGGAACTGAACTGAACTGAACAGCAAACAGCTCAGTTATAGGCAGCCGGCTGTCAACATTGTAACGACAACAGCCCGGGGTTTCCCGCCTAAATTAACTTACGTGGACCTGAGTGAAAACTGTACAGTGGTACCTCGGGTTAAGTACTTAGTTCGTTCCGGAGGTCCGTTCTTAACCTGAAACTGTTCTTAACCTGAAGCACCACTTTAGCTAATGAGGCCTCCTGTTGCTGGCATGCCACCAGAGCACGATTTCTGTACTCATCCTGTAGCAAAGTTCTTAACCTGAAGAACTATTTCTGGGTTAGCGGAGTCTGTAACCTGAAGCGTATGTAACCTGAAGCGTATGTAACCTGAGGTACCACTGTATACACAATACCCCCTGGTGGCCAGGGTGAGAACTTCAATACATAACAGGCAGTCTCCACCATTCCTCCTTTGCCCAGTCCCTGAAAACAGTGTCACTGATTTCCATGGGACTATCTCCAGATTGCACCCATGCTTTGAATTCAGCCCCGGGAATCGTTTCTTGAAAGGCATTAGCTTTCGCTGTAGGCTGCTTCTCACGGTTTTGTGATGTGCTGCCATTCAGTGTTTCCAGGAGAAGAAGCTTAAAGGGAGTCTTTCTTGGCTTCTGGATAATTGTACGTGTGCCAAGGGTTTACCACCCGCTTTGCAGTGCGATCTACGGAATGAGAGTATATTGCTGTAGGAATGGCTTTGCAAAGGAGCTTCCCTCCCCAAGATTAGCCTTCCTAAGCTACCTTCATTTTTCACCGAGTATCAGAGCAAATATGTGCACAGAACATGCGTGACTTGTTGGCACCAGTGCAAAGGAAGCCTCCGGGCAAGACCAGCTTATGCATTATCCTTTCCTTGATTTCTCTGTTTTGTTTTAATTTGAAAACTGTCTCTGCTTTAGATGGACTGTACACATTTTTTATGTAACTTGGCTCCAGCAGTATTAAGCAACCGGACTTATATTCTCCCGAGTATTTAGCATGTATTACAGCATGTACAGGGGACTGGGGTTTATTAAAGCTCTCCTCTTAGTTGTTCATTTTTCATAAGAGCACGAGAATGCCACTTAAATGAATACTGAAAACCCGTATTCTGCATTAACTCCACCACCTTCCTGCGTATTTGAAAATGGGGCTTCAGACAGCTCTTTCCTCACTTCAGATATTTTTTTAAAAATAATTTTTATATTTTTATCTTCATCACAATCATATCATCTCCAATATACGCACAGACCCAATGACCCCCCTCCCCCCATGACTTCCCTCAACTTCCTTTTCTGGTTTGTTGTATAATGGTTTCCCTGCTTTTTCTTTATACCTTACTTCTGTATTCTCTAAATTGATAATAATAATAATAATAATAATAATAATAATAATAATTTTTATTTATACCCCACCCTTCCCACTTCAAAAACAGTGCTCAGGGCGGCTAACAACAAATTTAAAACACGTCATTGTAAAAGCAGCATAAAATACAGTATAAAAACATGAATAACAATAAAATTCAAAATTCAGAAATCAATTTAGGGGAAATAAGCATTAGATAATCCCCAGGGCTAGCTGGCTGAATTGATCCTACTTGGGCCAGCAAGGTGGCCAGGGGAGAATTAGCTGTGGGGTCTCAGAGTGGGTAATCTTCATAAAAGGGGAGGGTTAAATTGAGTCCTTTCTCTGGACTATATGGAACTGGCAGAAATGACTGGCAGAATCCGAGACCAGGGAGAAGAGTCGGTGGAAGAAGATTGGAAGAAATTCAAAGACTATCTACAGAATTATTGTAAAATTAATGAATGTTAGAATGATGTTGGATAGAAATTAAGTGGTTTCCAGCTGTAATGCTTTAAGGGATTATGAAAAATGTGTTGTTAATAGGTAAAAATTTAACGTTACTATTTTAAGACTAAAGATTAGGATAAATAAAGAGGGTAAGGATTTGCTGAACCAACAAATTGAACTGGAATACAAAAAGGGAGGTATGGAGGAGGTCCGGGAAACAAGTTAAAGGAAAACAAGTAATTGAAAATCTGTGTGTTTTTAATTATTTTTATTTTGTATTTTTGTTATTTTTTTCATTTTTATTGTAATACTTTAAAAAAGCTTAATAAATATCTTATTAAAAAAAAAATTGAGTCCTTTCTCTTTTCTGTTTTGTAATTGTAAGGGTTTAGTGAAATCCTGGTAGTGAGTTCATTTCTTTGCAACATTTCTGTAAATGGTTCCCATTCTTTTTTTTGTCTCTATTGTCTTTATCTCTTAGTCTCTCAGTCAATTTGGCCAAGTCCTCACTTCAGATATTGAGGTGTAGAATTAGGTTTCTTAGGTTGCTCTAATGTTGGAGGTCCCCGACAATTTCGGCCCAGGGGCACATCTGGAAAGCTAAGAATTCGTTGTGAGCACCACAAAAGACCCATTTCACAGAAGAAGAGCTGGTGATGCTCAGACCCTCCCCCCAACAGATAAAAACCTACAGACGCCCAAAAGCCAATAAAACACAGACAGAAACGCACCCCAAGGCTGGTATGCTTGGTGCGGACACTGTGTGTTTTCTGGAGCCAGGTTAAAACCTTTTTATCCACCCAGGAATGTTAGACTGCAGTGTTTTTAGCTTGTTCTGATCATGCTTTTGTACTTCATAGACAATACTGAGGAAGCTGAAATCCAGTGATTCCAAGGTTGATGTCTCAACAAGGTGGATCATGTGACACCTTCTCTTAAAGATCTTCACTGGTTCTCTACTGGGCTGGGCTGTAGCTCTGCAATAGAGCATCTGTTATGCATGCAGGAAATCCAGATCCCCATAATCCATCTAGGGCTGGGAAAGAATCCTGGAGAACTGCTATGAGTCTATGTCAGGCATAGCCAAACTTGGCCCTCCAGACGTTTTGGGACTACAGTTCCCATCATCCCTCCCTGACCACTGGTCCTGTTAGTTAGGGATGTTGGGAATTGTAGTCCCAAAACATCTGGAGGGCCAAGTTTGGCCATGCCTGGTCTATGTGGACAATAATGAGCTAGCTGAACCAATGGTTGACTCAATATAAAGCAGTTTCCTACATATCTACAGTGCTGAATTCGGTCTAGAAAGCCCTGTATTATTTGAGACCCCAGCACTTAAAAAGATTGCCTCCCCTGCTACCTACTGACTCATATCTTAAGATGTGCGAGAGAGGCACTGATCTCAGTTCCATTTTCCACTACAGCCCACAGTGTGGCTGTGCAGATTGCATACGCCTCAACCGTCCCAATTTAAGCGGGACATCCTGGAATTACAAAAGCCATCTCAGCTTCTGACTGGAACCTGGAATGTCCCATTTTTTTGGTTTGGTGCTCAGGCATGAATCTATCGGCTCCCAAGAGAGCCTGGGATCAAAAACAAGCATCCCAATTTTGATCAGTGGGGTGATGTGGGAGGGTATGAGATTGGAGATTTTTCTGCTGTGGCACCCCAGATAGGAAGTCCTACACACACCCCCAAAGATACAGTTGTCCCTAAGTAAGTCAGGTTTAGACATCAGATCAAGAGGCACTTGTTTCATATGGAAATGGTTGAAGCAGAGGTATAGTATGGGGAGGCAGGGGGATGTAACCCTGGGCTCATGATTTTGAGTGTGAATGAACCAGGCACCGGGGGCCTGGAGCTGCCTCACTAAATTGCCACTCAGCCAGTGTTGGGGGGATGTTCCTGCCAAGGGCCATGTCAGCTGGTCATGCGCAGGTGGGCGCGCAAGTGGGATGACGCCGCAAGCCCCCATGCTCTGCTCTAGCGCTGCGAGGTTTATTCACCCTTCATGCCTTGCCACTGGTGTCCACACACCCCCGGCTCACACGCATGCATGTGAAGGATGCAACACCGCTGGGGTGACGTGACGCACACCTGACACCACCGGCAATGTATTTTCGAAACCACCAAATCAGAGTCCAAACCAGATCCTGTGGTTAGCACCTATCTCTGCTGTCCATACAGCAAGCTATCCATTATGTTAAAGAATGAGGTTTCGAATGCATAGGGCAGGGAATTTATACTGGTTCAGTATCTCTCAATTACAGTTTAGAAGCACCTCCCGGAGCCACTTCCACTGCTGCCACTGGTCTCCTGCACTGCCAGCCACTTTCTTGCTCCACCTATAATTCACATACACCCTCCCAGTTGCCTTAAAAAGGTAAAGGGA